TWAWTTTYCSRRRCCCTTTTTGGCTTGTCACGAATTTCTCAAGGCTCCTTAGAGAACGAAAGGTTTCACGGTTATTGAATTGAATAACATCTTTTTTGYGTYTTCGTTCGTTTCTGATGAAGTCTTTGCRCAAAAAAAACCTGCTGACAAATTGAACAGCGCTTATCCGCTTTGAACTGAAAAATATATTATATATATTATATGACGGTAATTAAGCCGGACGGCTAGGAAAACGACAATGATTTTTTTCATTTGAAGYCGTTAATTTATATTCAATTGGTCTTTTTGTGTGTGATTATAAACCGACTTGGCTAATAGATTAGTTTGTCTTCATTAATTCAGTAGAAAAAGGGCAGAACTTACAAAGCTACAATAGAAACATTTCGTGGTCAATATTAATGTTTCATTTCCCGATTATTCAGGTTGCAATAAAGGTCATTCCGAAAAGCAATGTTTATTCTTACGAAGAGGTATGTAAAAAGTAACAAACAACAACAAAGAAACAGTATGTATATTTTGTCTTCTTCCGTCATTTTCATTCGCAAATTCCTAAATCTATTTCATTCCCTTATTCGGCCGGATTTCAAACTGTGTGAGACTGGGCAAAATCCCCTAATTGGGTTATCATGACATAAGACTTACATAGAAAGAAAGCCCTTGTTGAGAAATGCAAAATTGCCAAAATTTGATGTAAATCAGTCCAGTGACCGAGTTACAGCCTTTCAAACATTCTAAAATTTCCAAAGAAATGTATGGATAGCCGTGAATGTGTTCGGAAAATGGTCAAAATTCAGACACATTTGCGGCTTCCCATACATTTCTTTGCAAATTTTAGAATTTTTGAAAGCTCGCAACTCGTTCATTATTGAACCGATTGACAGCAGATTTTGGAATACTCCAGTTTCGAATTCTCCAATGCTCTGTGTTAGCCTTATTTGTGCGCAAAATGTTCCTTATTGTGAGCGTAAAAGTGTGAGATTTTCAAATTTATTGTCTTTCTTCACAAAATTCCATGCGTTTTCTCGAGCTATCAATGAAACAAAAGAATATGTTACTTGGTTTTGAGGCTAACACAGAGCAAACCAGAACTCGAAATTGGAGTATTTTGCATTTCTCAACAAGGGCTTTCTTTCTATGTAAGTCTTATCTCGTGATTATCCAATTAGGGGATTTGGCCCAGTCCCCACTCGGTTTGCAATCCAGCAATATTACGCTTAAACTGAATGAAGACATATCCATTAAACTCAGTTCCAACTCTCTCTCTCTCTCTCTCTTGGATTAGATCGAGGGAGTCTCGGTACCAATGGAGGTATATCTTCAGAGATATTTAGATCACCCCAACATTATTCAGCTCTACGATTTCTTCGAGTACCAACAGGCCTATGTACTGATACTGGAGAGACCCGTCCATTACAGAGACTTATTTGACTTGATAACTGAGAGAAAGCGGCTAAGTGAACACGAAGCTAAGAGCATATTCAGACAGGTA